GACAGAAACTGCACAGTCAACCCACTTTGACAGAAATAGTGCACACACTGTCACTTGAGAGTAATGGAATCATTTTAGGACAAAAGATCATTCAGTTACCGTAAAGCTTGAAATCTAATGACGGTGATTATCAGTGCCAACTAGTGGACGCCGGGGACGAAATCTAATAACAGCTTCCCATTTGCTGAGCAAACCTGGTGCCCAGTCCCACACTGAGCACTTGCCATGTGGAACCTCGTGGAATTCTCACATCAGCCCCAGGAAATGTAGGGACCATTGCGGTCAACCGTCCATAAATGAGGAAACTGGGGTACACCCAGCTTGAGTGGCTTGCCCAGGGTCTCAGGACTGTAAGTGGCCAGGCACAGAGAAACCCATTTGACCCTGGGACCTGGCTCTGAACTGAGGAGGGGCACTGAGTCAACAGGCAAACAAACAGGAAACCTGAAGGGAATACTACGGGACCCACCTTATTGTCTGGCCTGGATTCATTAGGGGATAAAGAAGAACAGGGTATCCTCTTTTTCCAGTGCCCTAGGAATTTACTCTGCTGAGTTTCCTTTCTACCCTGGGTTGAAATCTCAGACAGAACCCATAGCCTCTTCAGCTAGTTGTGAATTATTCAAAGTCCTCAGATCAGTTTCAGGCATGCAAAGAGCCCAGTGCAACATCATGATCAAAACTCCAACCGCTTCAGTTTAAATGACCTCCTCCCTCTTCCAGCTCAGGCCTGTGTTGGCTTGGAAACCTCTGGAGGAGGGGAGGGGATAGGGAACTTAATAAAGGTTGTTGTTTTTTTTTCCCCAGCTTTCCCTGCTCTCCCTGCTCTGGCTCTTCTCCCACGCATTAGGCGTCATTTCTAACCTCTCAGGGCCCCACGTGGGAGTACGAATGTGAGGGGCGGGCAGCTTGTTAAGGGAAAGATGGCATACCTCTCCGAACCTCTGACTCCTGTAATCTGGTGTCCCCTGGGCATGGGGGATTCTTCAGACAGCTTTCTTTTGGGGAACTTTCGGATTCCCTGGGGGCAACCACGCATCCCACCGCTAGGGGAAGCTCACAGCCTTTTCCTCGGGGGAAGGGAAAATCTTTGGTGAGAGTTCCCTTTAAGATAACCACTGACCACCTTCCCCCAGGTACATGCTTGGTCCCAGAAAATCCTCACTCCACATTCTTGGAAATGCTTCCCCTCGCCTGCATCCTGTGTTTGGAGAGTCCATGGCAGACTCTGCCTTTGAACCTCTCAGGCCTGAGCTGCCAGTCTCCATGTTCCTCAGCTTTCAGGGGGCCCTGAGTCCAACCTCAGCCTGTTTGAGATGAGGGCAGGCACACTTGGCCACTGCCCTTCACACAGCTCTGAGCGAAGAGCTTAAGGCTGCTCTGATCCTACTCAGCTGAAGCGAAGTTGTCCCCGGTACCCATTGCTATCTTTGTTGGCCCACGAGACATCAGTGAAAACTCGGGGGGTAAGAACTTGTCCCCCTCACTCTTCCCTCCAGACTTGTTTGATTCACAGTGCCGCCTGGAGGATATTGCCAGTGCTTCCTTCCCCTGTAGTGCCCTCCCATTACTCAACATAGAATCCAAGTCCATCTTTCCCTTTCCTCACCCTCAGTAGGTTTCTCACTGATGCCCCCTAACACGCTCTGCCAGCCATCATCAGTGCCCTTGAACTGTCTGTAATGTACCATGAACTCCATCGAGAGCTGCCCTGATAATGGGTGCCCTCTCTCCCATGCCTTTAACTCCAGTTCTTCCCCTCAGCATTGTTTTTTCATCTAACTACTGAGAAGTTGTTTACGGGAAGTCCTTTGTGACAATCCTGCCACATTTTCATCAACATTATTTAATGAATAGTCATCAGATGTATTTCGAATCTTCTACTAAAAAACTTTTTGAGTTACTTACATAATTGCTCAGTTAATAAGTACTAGTCAATTGATTGAACACAGTCCATACTTCAGGAAGCACTCTTATATTTTTAGTGCATTTCTATTACATTTGTAAAGAATTCAAGTTAACATTGTCCTGGGAAACTGCATTTTTACTTGAATGGCCAGGATGTTTCTCTGCTTTTAAATGAAAAAACAAAAACAAAAACAAGGATGAGTGACCCCAGTCAAGCTGAACTCTTAGACTGAAGTCAGCAAGCACAAACACTATTAGCCAAAATCAAAAGGCAGCACGGGACGATTTTATTCATACTGTAAATGTCTTGTGATTGGACATGTTAGGAAACTGGAAAATCACTTCTTTGAGAATTCTTGAAATTGCTTCTTTGGTTACTTTGCCTCCAAGAATCTTTAATCTGAACACAATTTCAAGTTCACTGATTCAACACATTTCTTTTCACAGATAAGATCAAGACACTGAGCTGTTAGTTGACTTAGAGTTGAATTAGTCAGACACCCTCTTTCAAACAATATACCACCTTTCCTCTGTCACAACACACATGAGCAATGACCAGTTTTCACTTCTATGGGTGAAGCTGGGGTTGTGTTCAAAATAGGTATTTCTCAGTCTTGTGAGTTGAGAGTAATGATTGTTAGTTAGTGTTCCAAATGGTATCAAAGCCTGCCTGAACATCAGGGCCAGATGGCAAGTCGGGACATTTTGGACTTCTGGTCCTAATATGATGGAATTAGAAAACAGGCCATTTTGCACTTTAATGCCCGTGGATTTTTTTTTAAATACATTTTTATTGATTTCAGAGAGGAAGGGAGAGGGAGAAAGAAATAGAAATGTCAATGATGAGAGAGTATCATTGATTGGCTGCCTCCTGCACGCCCCCCACTGGAATTGAGCCCACAACCCGAGCATGTGCCCTTGAGCGGAATCGAACCTGGGACCTTCCAGTCCACAGTCCAATGCTCTATCCACTGAGCAAAACCAGCCAGGGCAATGCCAGTGGATGTTTTATGTTAACTATAGCTCAGCATTCAAAGAACATTTTCCTAAGAACAGCAAGTGCGGGAACCATACAAAAGTTCAATCCCAGGTACCATTTTGAAATTGGAAATAACTCACTTCTTGTTAGCTCCCCAGAACCCATGATTTTAGATGGAGAAGGGATCGGGATCTCGTCCAAGCACCGCTTGTCGTTCATAGGTGAGGAGACAAGGCCGCAGAAGGGGCGGTCTGAGCTCTGTCTCCTGTTGCCCACTGGGCCTTCTTCCTGCTTGCTGAGGTCCGTGGGCAGAAAGGTGCTGAGTGCGGATGCCAGTCCTGTCTTGCACTCGGCCCCTGAGCCTTCTGGTGCTGTCCCTTCCCTGGATGAATTTTGAGAAACATGGCCTGTCCTGGGGACAAACCTCTCTCAAGTGCCCTGGGGGTGACCCAGAGGGTTTTGTCTTGGTGGGGCCCCAGGTCATCTTCCCAGTGAGGCGGGCCCAGGGTGGTGGATGGCAGACCCAGAGGATCTGCAGAGAGATCACGGCTTCTCTTCTGGCATGTCATTCCAGATATGTTCAAAGAAACAATTTCACTTCATCTTCATAAGAGGAGGTGGTTTTTTAAAACTACATTAAAGTATTATAATGGAACCACGCAATTAAAGAAAATCATTATGTAGGAATTGCCTTGGGGCTTCTCAGATCTCGCACAGGAAAATATTTTTACTAGAACAAACCCTTTTGCAGATTACAAAAACCGACTCTAATGAAACATGACAATGGGTGTATTTAGAGATTAAGAGTTTCAAAAGATGCTAAGGAGAAATATCAGCCCCCCTGCCCCCACCCCCGTTATTAATAGACACTTCATTTTCTTACCAGGACAGCAGATGTTTTATAGTTAATATCACTTTACTTATTTTGTAAATTAGTTTTTTGACATATTAGATGAATACATTACTCTCTTAATAGTCCTTTTTATAACCAAAGAAGCTAAAAAGGTCTTTAGCCAGTTCCTTTCAAATGCTGATGCATTCATAAGTGTTCTCTGCCAGCAGTAACGGGCAGAGAGTTGTGCCCAGGACTGCAGAGGTAAATGCAAGTAGAAAAACTCCCTATAAATACATATTGGTTGTTGGTGGTAGTGGTGGGGGGGGGGGGGGTAATCAAGTTCAGAAAACCATGAATTAGTTCCAGGAATGCTTAGCTATTATACAGGTTCACTATACAGTAACGTTTTAGGTGTGGTTGACATCTTAAGAGCTTGTTCTTCCGTTTGGGGGGAGAGGGGGGGAATACATTCCACAGAGAAACTTTTGATTTCTGCTCATTAAGTGTGAAAAATGATGGAGTATTTAAAATCAAACTACTTCTATAGTTAATTTAGAAGCGTTTCTAGTTTTTTTAATTATTATTATTATTAAAAAAAATAAGCTTGAACTTCATAGGCATTCTTGGTTTCCAGGAGAAAGCATTTTCAAATATATTGATTGGCAAACATAAGATAACAGAAACATTGATTTCTAAAAGATTTTCCATCTTCACTGCCAATCCCACTTCTGCCCATCGTTTTAGCTTCTGAAGAATTAAGAAGTGCTTGTTTCAAGTGTTAATTGAGAGATGGGTAGTAAGAAGTCAGAAGTTTTGCTTCATTGCGAACGAGACATAACTCGCCGGTGCTGCAGTGTAAACCACTTAGGGATTCCTAGGACCTTTAATGAACTGGGAACTGGGCTTTGCTAAACCAGCATTTCCACATTCGTCTAGCATTTCCTGGGTTTTGACATAAGCAATACCAACCCGGCGTGAGCAGAGGCGGTTCCCACCAATGGGGAGGCAGCTGGAAGCGTCCGCGCGTGGGAAAATGTCAGCAGCTTTCTCCCAGGCGCCGGGCCCTGCCGGCGGCGCGCGGGGGGAGAGGCTGGCCCCGGGGCCCCGGGGCCCGCCGTGCGTTCTGTGGCCCGGGAATCGCCTCCCAGAACCGGGGGCGCCGGGGCCCGGAGCCGGCGGGGGTGGCGGAGGCGGGGGCGCCGCCGCGGGGCTCCGGGTTGATACAGCCGTGATGTCACTCGCCCATCCTAACCCGCGGTTGGTTGTTTTGTGTTTCAGCTCTGCCTGCAGTTGCACACAAAGACCTGGAGGAGGAAACTCCCACGTCCTCGAGGAGAAGAAAGGAGGCGGCGAAGCAGATTAAAGGAACTTGTGGCTCGTGGCCCTTTTGCGCCAGGGCTGCCTGGACCTGGACCGGGGGAAAGTGAGTGTCAAGCCACAGTGGCGGTGCATGGGCTGTGAGATGAGGCGCTGCCGCCGCCGCTGCTGCTGCTGCCGCTACTGCTGCTGCTGACACTCAGGTTCCCGGGTCCGTCCGCTGCCCTTTGTGCTTCGTGTACATGTGTCTATTCAGCGCATCCGGAGGCGCCCAGCAGAGAATCCAACACGGCCGCCGGGGAGAGACCACCCACCATGCCCACGGAGACCCTACAGACAGGTAGCATGGTGAAGCCGGTCAGCCCCGCGGGCACCTTCACCTCGGCGGTGCCCCTGCGCATCCTCAACAAGGGGCCCGACTACTTCCGCAGGCAGGCGGAGCCGAACCCCAAAAGACTCAGCGCCGTGGAGAGGCTGGAGGCCGACAAGGCCAAGTATGTCAAGAGCCAGGAGGTCATCAACGCCAAGCAGGAGCCCGTGAAGCCGGCCGTGCTGGCCAAGCCCCCAGTGTGCCCCGGCGCCAAGCGCGCGCTGGGCAGCCCCACGCTCCGTGTGTTCGGGCCCAACGCCAAGACCGAGAGCGGCGTGCACAGGGAGACCCTGAAGCTCGAGATCCTGAAGAACATCATCAACAGCTCGGAAGGCTCCAGCTCCGGCTCCGGGCACAAGCACAGCTCCCGCAACTGGCCTCCGCACCGGCCCGATGCCACCGACCTGCACCGACACTCCTTCGCCGAGTCCCTGAAGGTCTACCCGACGCAGGGCCGGGGCAGCCCGCAGGAGAGCAGCTCCCACGTGGGCAGGAGGCTGCTGGAGCAGACCGCCGAGTCCTTCCTGCACGTCTCCCACAGCTCCTCGGACATCCGCAAAGTGACCAGTGTGAAGCCCCTGAAGGCGATCCCCTGCAGTAGTTCCGCCCCTCCCCTGCCTCCCAAACCCAAGGTTGCAGCCATCGCCCCCATGAAGTCCCCCGACGCCGACCCGGCCGAGCCAGCCTGCGGAGTCAGCCGGAGACCCTCCCTCCAGCGGTCGAAGTCGGACTTGAGTGACAGGTACTTCCGCGTGGACGCAGACGTGGAGAGGTTCTTCAACTACTGCGGACTGGACCCCGAGGAGCTGGAAAACCTGGGCATGGAGAACTTTGCCAGGGCTAATTCTGACATCATATCCCTCAACTTCCGCAGTGCAAGCATGATCAGCTCGGACTGTGAACAGTCGCAGGACAGTAACAGTGACCTTAGAAACGAGGACAGTGCCAACGACCGGGTGCCATACGGCATTTCTGCGATCGAAAGGAATGCCAGGATCATCAAGTGGTTATATAGCATCAAACAAGCTAGAGAGTCCCAGAAGGTCTCCCACGTGTAAGAGACAGTGCGCGTGTGCGAAGGAGGGAGGGGGTGGGTCTCTTGTCTGTGCATCCGCCGTTGTGAAGGTCGTGAGGTCTCCTTGAAGTGTTGTGAGCTTCTCCGCTCTCTTTGTGTTGCTTGTTGTGCAATGTTTTCAAGTTGCATGCCTGTCAACATGGGGACTGACCTGGCGTCCCGGTCAACCATCGCTGCAGAGCCTGGCTGAACACACGTCACCTGCCAAAAAGTTTCAGGCCGGAATCGGATTAGGGCTTTGATCTCAAGCAAAACTGTTTACACCCGAAAACGGTATACAACTTCTTCAATATTTATGTGGTTCTTGTGTTTTATATCCCGCGCTATTGTGTCTTAATTAAAAGTTTTATCAACTGGCTTTTAAGTTGAGAAGAGCATCTTTTTGAAACAAAAAGCCACTTTGCCTACGTGTGACACCAAAAACACGAGGGAAATAAATGGAACCTGCTAACCAAACTGATAGAGTCACTGACCTAAGATAGAACCAGGCTGGGTTTTCTGAGGAAAGAAAGTGGTGAGCCTGATGTTAACTCCTTACATACTGCAGTTCTCTTGCCCCTTGCTGAAGTAATGGTTGGGGCAACAATGCTACGTCCTGTGTCCTATTTAGTGTGTAAATAAACATTGGTGGCTCTGTGTAATACTGACCCCAAGAAAAGACAATCAGATACAATGAAGGTGATTATATCTAGGAGGTTGAATGTCCGGGGTTTTGTTGATAGCCTTCTGATTTGGGTTGATTCAGAAGTTTCTACTATTAATCTTTTGACAGGAATGGCCACTCTGAAGTTGTTACTCAATGTCTTTAAATTTGGGGGGGTTTATTTTTGGTCAATAACTAATGCCATGCTGATTCTCTTCCCTTCCTCCTTCCCTTCCTTTGTTGTTGTTTTATTTGGGAGAGAGGACAAGGGCTTGTGCAGGTCTGTGCTATCTGAAGACATGAACCCACATGGAAATACCAGCCATATTAGTATCGAGCCTCCTATTCAACAGTGGACGCCTTGGGTAGCTGAATCATATCTGAGCAGTGTGGTTGTGTGGTCTTGCCTATGTTATTCGCTCAGGCTCTGGGCCTTTGTTACAACCCTAGGAAACTAGAAACACGACACTATAGAGTCCCCCGCCCCCGCCATGGTCTCTAGTGCTACATATCAACTCATTCCCTTTCCCCCGCCAATAACCTGTCTTCCAGTTAGCTGTCAACCAGCTGACAGTTGTGGTGTGGTAGCAAGAGGTACACATGCAGTGGTCTGCTTCATTGCTCTTGTAGTTATGCTCTGAAATTCAGGAGCACTACCTTAGACTTCGTCAGCTAATAAGAAACTTTTTATGGTGTAAATGCTGTAAGACTTTGTACATACTTCAGTTGTTATGAAAACTTGAAGAAAACAAAGGAAAACTTATGCTAATAAATAGCTCTGGTGCAGGCACTAATGGTGGTGGTTTCTCTTTGTACTTTCCTTTGCTCTCTCCATGGAAGTTTAACTTTGGCATGTGAGCCAGAAGCAGATTTTTGATGCTCTTCAAGAAACATTGTTTTATTATGTTATTTTCCCCATATCACAACTATTTGGGACATCAGTGTTCTTAATTGTAGCTCCAGCAATGTGCTTCTGCTTAAATAGTTGCATCAAGGCTCCTAAAAATATGCGGCCTCTTTGTTACTTAGTTCACACTTCAGTTATTTTTATCTTTTCTTAAACAACAAGACCTTTTACATCTTCCACTAGACTCTGGAGTTATAACTACGTATGAATTCTTACAGTGGAGACATACCTTGGAAATTTATAGCCTTGTTCTTATTTTTATACAGGCCCAACATCATTTAACATGACAAAAGTTCATACATTTGTCACTCATTCATTCATTCTTCTTTCAACAGGTCACTTGTCCAGTGAGTCCCTTTTTCAGGCTTCACAATAGACACGTGACTGTTGTGGTCAACAACAGAGTCTCTGCCTCAATGAACTTAGATTTTCACATTTATTTTAAGAGAAATATTCCCCTTAGTGGAAATGTCTTCTCTCCTGTTAGGACATTGAGTATTCAACGAGTATTTATTGAATCAAATTATTTGAAAGTTAACATTTCTTCAAAATTTCATATAATATGTAAATGTAAAAGAAAGTATTATTTAAAACGTCATTTTCAGAAACAGAAATGATGTGATTCCCAGCTATTACTGTACATAAACATTTTCCTTCTGAAAATCAAATTTGGTTCCTTGACTCTCTCTCTCTACTGGTTTCGAATTCTTTCTGCTTCTCTGATTAATTTTCAGTTCCACTAGAACTGTACTTCCCAAAAGAAACATTTTGAAATTCATCTATGAGTGGTGATTATACAGTGCAATTAAGATAATGGGATGAAAATACACACACACACACACACACACACACACACACACTTCCTTCACCATTGGGATAGAAATGTGGCCATTAAAATATTCAAGGCTTATTAGCATTTATATATCCATCTTTTTCTGGGGCTATTGAAATACCAAAAATAGATGTTCTTTTTCTAAGAAAACCAGTTTGTTTGGGAGATGAGCACTTCTTTGCTAATTTAATATCTATGCCTATGCTGTTTTAGTCATAAATCCTATTGAATCTTTCAACATTTTGAAACCACATTAAGTTGTATTCCAATGGGGCTATAAATCATCCCACTATAATTCAGCCTAATATTCTGTGGCCTTATTTTTGGTTCCCTTTATGGAAGGCAGGCACTCATTTTCTTTTTGTTCTTGAGATTAGAGTTTCTATAAAGGACTAATTCAAATGCTTAATAGTAAATCCTAAGAGGGAGATGTTTCCTAATGGTGAAGTCTTTTAAGCAAAATGCTCATTCTATTAAAGCATGGAAGTAAGTATCGTGTGTGTGTGTGTGTGTGTGTGTGTGTGTGTGTGCTGATGATGGTATGAATACAGGGTTGTGATATAGTTCAGCACACTTTTTCCCCCTCTACAATGCAGAGTGAAGTATGATTGCACTGGATGGCCCTGGAAACTGGTTTCTTTCTGAAAAAAACCCCAGCAATTTTTAAGACAATTCTCCCATATGCACCTCCTCTGCCATTGTCTTTGTTCTAACTCTCATCTTCTCTTACCTGAACTATTGTTCCTAGAACTTCCTAACTGGAAGTCTCCCTCCCCCTCAGCCAGGCTTTTCACAGCCTGTCTCATGCCAGAGATATCAAAATCAACTCTGATTATGTAAAAATGTCCTCTATGTAAAAATATCCTCCACCTTGAGTATTTTGCTGATAGTATAAATCCTAACTTCTTAACAAAGAATGTTGGGCACTTACCTTACAGACCTTATCTTCTCTGTCCCCTTCAGCCACCCATCCGAGGTGCCAGGCTCCAAGCAAAGGAAGTTTCCATTGGAAACATGTTACCACTGTGTTAATGACTTATTGCTGTGTAGCAAACTTCCTCAACATTCAACAACTTACAACAATAAATGTTTAGTATCTCCATTTCTGTGGTTCAGGAACCCTGGAGTGGCTTAGCCCTATGGTTCTGGCTCAGGGTGTCTCATTAGGCTGCAGACACGACATCAGCCGAGGCTGTATCATCTGAAGGCTCGGCTGGGGCTGGAGAATCTAATTTCAAGATGGTTCACTTGGGGTTGGCAAGAATCCTTACAACGTGGCATCTGGCTTCCCCCAGAGAGAGTGACCCACAAGGAAGCAAGGAGGAAGTCAGGATGCCTGTTGTGATCCAGTATGCTGAAGCACACCCACCCATCACATTCAGTTCATTGAGAAGTGTGTCACCAAATCAGCCTGCACTCCTGGAGGGAAGTTAGACCTCATCTTTTAAAGGAAGGAATATTCAAGAAGGTATGGACATGTTTTGAAATCACCACTGCTGCTGAGGTTTGGTAGTTTTCATTCTGTGAGGAAAGCTTTCTCTTCCCTCCTTGACCTTCAGATCCTTGTTCTTTCAAGATCCGATATAACTATCAACTAGTGAGATTATTTTGAGTTTCTATGTTGCCTTTGCCCTTTTTTTAAAAATATATTTTTATTGATTTCAGAGAGGAAGGGAGAGGGAGAGAGAGATAGAAACATCAACGATGAGAGAGAATCATTGATTGGCTGCCTCCTGCACGCCCTGCACTGGGGGTCGAGCCCACAACCCAGGCATGTGCCCTTGGCTGGAATCGAACCTGGGACCCTTCAGTCTGCAGGCCGATGCTCCATCCACTGAGCCAAGCCAGCTAGGGCTGCCTTTGCCCTTTAGGCTAGGTCCGTGGTCGGCAAACCATAGCTCGCGAGCCAAATGTGGCTCTTTGGCCCCTTGAGTGTGGGTCTTCCACAAAATACCACGTGCGGGCACGCACCTACAGTGCGAATGAAACTTCGTGGCCCATGCACAGAAGTTGGTATTTTGTGGAAGATCCACACTCAAGGAGCCCAAGAGCCACATATGGCTCGCGAGCCACGGTTTGCCAAGCCGCAGTTTGCCGACCACTGGGCTAGGTAACCTAATGGTGCCTTTGTGAGAATTTTTAAATGGTATGCCTTTCTCGAAAGGTTTTATTTTCTGCCAAGAAAAAAACACACCTGTCCTAGTAAATTTACAAATACCAGAGAATTATGATGTGAACTATGGCCCCAGGGTTGGGCAGTGCATAACACACAGCCCAGAGTAGATGGTCGATACTTAAGTGTTGAGTGAATTTTTTCTAACCTATCACGTTCAAGTCCTGTGCTACTTACACTTGAAATGTTATCACAATGAACCTAAGAGGGTGGTAGTTGACCCATTTTAGAGGTTATGAACTGCAATTTCCAAGGAGATTAAGCCCTTTAACCAAGATCCCAGAGAAAGTAAGCGACAGAATGGCACTTGAACTAAAGTCTCTGGGTCCACCTCTGCCCTCCTGCAGCCCAGCTCGCAAGGAGAGGCAGACTGAGTGTTGTACTTAAGAACAGAAGTGCCCTCAAGTTCATCTTCATCTTCATGCTTTTATCTGCAGCCTGCATATATAAACATGTCTCAGTCAGACATTCAGCAATTTCACTCTTACCTAAATGGTAACCAATAAAAGTTAGAAAAGACTTCAGCTGTTCTATTAGAAGTCACATACAGCCCATTGAGTTCAAAGAGACAAGGCTATGCATTCTTTCAGTTTTGAAAGTGCTATGTTTTGAAGCCACATCCTGCCTATTTTGATCAAGGACTTTTAGAAGGGCAAGCAGTAGAGAAGAGTGTCTGGCCACAATTCAATAATCAGGAAACACATTTGGACAATTTGGTGACTCAGCATCACTCCATTCCCCCATCCTTGAGGATTTTCATGGTGTGGTCAGACCAGAAGGTGCACCGGGGAAGGAATAAAAAA